GACGCACACACACACACACACTTTATCAAAAAGATGAACATACAAATACACGCGAAACAACACACAGAGAAACACAGCCACAGAGACACGCAGGCATAGACACACAGACACACGCAGAAACACCTACAGACACAGCATAGATACACACAAACAGACAGACACACATACACAGACAAACATGCAGCCAAGCCACACCCACACGTATCCACATACAATCACACACACAGACACACACGCCGCCACACATACAGATAGACATTAAAAAAAAACACACACACAGACACACAACCCAGACTGACACGCACACTGACACGCAGACAGACACACACACAGACACGCACGCAGAAACCATACAGACAAACAGACACCCTCACAGACACACGCCTACACACAGATACATACACACAAACGTATACAGTTACCCATGCATACACAGAATTATACACACAAATACGCCTACACACGCCTGCATGTCACACATATACTCATACAAATATATCATACGTACTGCAATTAATTATAACTAGTAATGCATTGTGGATTATGAACTACATTTAAGGTGGCATGTAATCACTGATAATCATGTAATGAAAGAGTTTGCGGTTAAATTAGTAAGGACTTTTTGTAGTTTTCAGATCGAGTGGAAGATGGTTCCATAAATGAGCAGCAGAATATGATAGACTTGTTTTAAATAAATCAATTCTGGGTGTAGGCAAATGTAATAAACCTAGTCGCTTGCTATTCTTACGATTAGATTGAATAGGTCGATGTAATTTGGAGTATCTTTAGATAGGATTTTGTGAATAAATTTGGCCTTATTAAAAATTAAACGTTTACTAAATGGCAGAAGCTTTAGATGTCCATATAAAAGATTTTTCTCGACGTAGTTTCTATCGGAAACTAGGCGTAAGGCCCTATTTTGTAGAGAACTCAGCCGTTTGACATTAGATTTGGAGCAGCCATCCCAAATTGTGGAACAATAGTCAATATGCGTTTGAATGTAGGATACGTAAAATATTTTAAGTGTATTTTCGTCCAGAAAGTGCTGAATTTTTCCAAGTTGATATACCTTTTGTGCTACTTTTTTCGTCATGGCATGAATATGGGAATCCATGTTAGATGGCTGTCAATTAAAACACCTAATGTTTTGTGTTCAACTACATTAACAATAGGTAGCTTGTCAATGAAGAGCTCAAGAGGTGGCTTGTGTACAGCTAATGTTTGTAACTTTTGCCTAGTTGTTATCACCTGTGCTGATAGATAGATAGATAGATAGATAGATAGATAGATAGATAGATAGATAGATAGATAGATAGATAGATAGATAGATAGATAGATAGATAGATAGATAGATAGATAGATAGATAGATAGATAGATAGATAGATAGATAGATAGATAGATAGATAGATAGATAGATAGATAGATAGATAGATAGATAGATAGATAGATAGATAGATAGATAGATAGATAGATAGATAGATAGATAGATAGATAGATAGATAGATAGATAGATAGATAGATAGATAGATAGATAGATAGATAGATAGATAGATAGATAGATAGATAGATAGATAGATAGATATATAGATAGATAGATAGATAGATAGATAGATAGATAGATAGATAGATAGATAGATAGATAGATAGATAGATAGATAGATAGATAGATAGATAGATAGATAGATAGATAGATAGATAGATAGATAGATAGATAGATAGATAGATAGATAGATAGATAGATAGATAGATAGATAGATAGATAGATAGATAGATAGATAGATAGATAGATAGATAGATAGATAGATAGATAGATAGATAGATAGATAGATAGATAGATAGATAGATAGATAGATAGATAGATAGATAGATAGATAGATAGATAGATAGATAGATAGATAGATAGATAGATAGATAGATAGATAGATAGATAGATAGATAGATAGATAGATAGATAGATAGATAGATAGATAGATAGATAGATAGATAGATAGATAGATAGATAGATAGATAGATAGATAGATAGATAGATAGATAGATAGATAGATAGATAGATAGATAGATAGATAGATAGATAGATAGATAGATAGATAGATAGATAGATAGATAGATAGATAGATAGATAGATAGATAGATAGATAGATAGATAGATAGATAGATAGATAGATAGATAGATAGATAGATAGATAGATAGATAGATAGATAGATAGATAGATAGATAGATAGATAGATAGATAGATAGATAGATAGATAGATAGATAGATAGATAGATAGATAGATAGATAGATAGATAGATAGATAGATAGATAGATAGATAGATAGATAGATAGATAGATAGATAGATAGTGAACGGATGGATGGTTGGATGATGGACAGACACACACAAAAAGACAGCCTACTGCTAGGCTGAGAGGGTTACAGCTGTAGCAAACACACACAGTTAATGCCTCTACTACACGAAACAGCCTCCCTAATCCCCTAGCGCCTTACCATCCAACACATTCATTTGCAAGCGTGATGAGAGCACCTGCTACTCCCGTTAGGTGCCAGTTACTTTGCGAGGTAGAAACACAGCAAGGTGAAATAACAAACCTAACATCACGATGCTTGTGTGTGTGTGTGTGTGTGTGTGTGTGAGAGTACGTGTGTGTGTCTGGGTTTTATTCCGTTGCCAGTCTTTGGAGCAGTGTAGGCTAGTGTGTCTGTAGAATGAATTTATGGTTTAAAAAAAAATCACCTATAGCTGTACCTTTTCTTTTTGAACACTTTCTAAAGAAGAAACAGGGTATACCTTATTGCGTGAGATACAGTGTTTGTTATACAGTGTTATCCTTTTATTCTGTAGCGTTGATTTAACGGTTGTGCTGATAGGGGTAAAAGCAAATAATCGTTGAGATCCCAGCAAGAGGTGAGTTATCGCACACGCTATCTTCATCTGACTGATTATGTTTGCCAACAACTTTGTCTCAGGTCTTCTAGATATTTCTGGCACATATGTCTGTCCCTTGAGATCAAATTGTTAAACTTTCTCTGTGTTTGGTTTCTTTCTTTCTCCCTGTCTCTACTTTCCAACTTTCCTGTTACCAAAATGCACTCAGAGAATGAGGAGTGACCCCCGCCCTCTCCCCGCCAAACCACCTACCTGTTTTCCAGTTACCATTTGGTCTATATCTATACACGTTTAGCATCATTGCTCGATGTGCCACTGACTTAACAAATGGCTCTTATGTTTACGTTTTATAGCACATCGATTTGTAGTTTCGATTCACCACATGCTGCTTTGTATAATTATTATTATTAATTTGCAATTTATGCAATATTTTATACTTCAGCGTGCTGTCTGTTTCGCTTCGTGAACGTCTACTTTTCAATAAGGCGAAATTTACTTACAAAATATTATCTCAAAAGGCCCCATGCTACTTATGGCCGTTTTTTAAATATAATAGTAAGCGCCTAAACGTATTACACATCCCTAAACCAAGGATATACCTTTACAAAACAAGTTTGGCATATTCCGCAGCTCAATTGTGGGACTATCTGCCACAGCAAATCAAAAGTATCACTAGTCCATATACATACAATCGGAAACTGTTCGAATATTATCTGAGCACCGATTATATGCCCCCATAGAAGATACATATGTGAAAAATAGCGCTAATTGTCCCTAGATTTGTTACAACTAATACGTTTTACTGTAGTTAGAAATGTACACATTCCAGTGCTTGTATTGATTATTTTGATGCTACTGCTAACTTTTAAAATTACTTGATATGTGAACGAAATGATGTAAGAACGGAGAGAGACCTCGAAGGGCAGAATGTTAGACGGGCCTGCGTGCCCAATTCTTAACCCTTTAAAAATAAAGTTCGTTCGTTCGTTCACGTAACAGTCTAATTAGGGGGTGTTTCCTTTGGAGTCGAAGTGCATCTGTCTGAGAGTCGAGAAACCAACAGTCAGTTTACAAATAAGCCAGATCTGTAAAATGGAAGTGCATATAAAACTCTGGTTCTGCAATAAGTCCAGAAGTGGACAGACAACCAACATCTTTTCCAAGCGTTTGCAGCAAGTGAACGCAAAGAAGAAGAAGAAGAAGAAGAAGAAGAAGAAGAAGAAGAAGAAGAAGAAGAAGAAGGAGAAGAAGAAGAAGAAGGAGAAGAAGAAGAAGAAGAAGAAGAAGAAGAAGAAGAAGAAGAAGAAGAAGAAGAAGCAGAAGAAGAAGAAGAAAAAGCAGAAGAAGCAGAAGAAGAAGAAGAAGAAGAAGAAGAAGAAGAAGAAGAAGAAGAAGAAGAAGAAGAAGAAGAAGAAGAGAAGAAGAAGAAGAAGAAGGAAAAGAAGAAGAAGAAGAAGAAGAAGAAGAAGAAGAAGAAGAAGAAGAAGAAGAAGAAGAAGAAGAAGAAGAAGAAGAAGAAGAAGAAGAAGAAGAAGAAGAAGAAGAAGAAGAAGAGGAAGAAGAAGAAGAAGAAGAAGAAGAAGCAGAAGAAGAAGAAGCAGAAGAAGAAGAGGAAGATGAAGAAGAAGAAGAAGAAGAAGAAGAAGAAGAAGAAGAAGAAGAAGAAGAAGAAGAAGAAGAAGAAGAAGAAGAAGAAGAAGAAAAAAAGAAGAAGAAGAAGAAGAAGAAGAAGAAGAAGAAGAAGAAGAAGAAGAAAAAGAAGAAGAAGAAGAAGAAGAAGAAGAAGAAGAAGAAGAAGAAGAAGAAGAAGAAGAAGAAGAAGAACAAGAAGAAGAAGAAGAAGAAGAAGTACAAGAAGAAGAATATACGAATGCAACTTAAATCAAACATACAATATTAATGTTTTTATGGTTACATTTTCTTCCTCAGTAACATGGACATACTCTCGTTAAACAACTCTTCACTAAGTACAAGAATATTGTAACGTTACAATGAAAGATCAGCAATCGAATATTCAATTGCCCGCCTAAATAACTCACAAAGGATAGGTATTTTTCGAGAACGTATTAAATTGCCCTTTCTTCGCACGTGTAACTACTTCTAAGCCACACAATGTCAGACACAGAGGAACAGAAAGTTTGCCAGACGTGCTCGGACTTCGAGCCTCAAACATGGAGAAAATCTCTCTGCAAGAACTGTTTTCATACTCTCGAAGAACATTCTGCAGAAATGCTAGCTAATGAAGCGAATGCAGTTGCCAAAGAAAAGACTGTGGCAAAGACATCTGGAAAAGAGATTGAAGCAGCGTCGGCGCAGACAGGGGTAAAACCTTGCGATAAAAAGGTTGTTGATTCGTCAGTTCCAGCAGAGACACATGTGAGAAGCGGGGATGACACTAAACAGACTGAAGAAAAAGAGTTCGAAGCTGCAAGAGCGAAACCGAAGTACGGCGCGGCTCGGTGTGTCGGTGATCCAAACAGTCCATGGTCTTGGGCAAAAGATTTAGGCAGTGGGTATGTAAAACCTGCAAAACCAGAGCTTCAAGACACAGAAAAAGGGGCAGCAAGATCTGCAACAGTTCCCTCATCTAGTAAAACAACCTCCACGAAATCGTCACCACCGACAACCTCAAAACCATCCGTAAAATCTGTTACATCGTCTACGACTGTGGCAGCGTCAGATACATCGTTATCATCATCATCATCATCACCATCAGGTACAACGACTACCAGTTCTGTAACAGCGGATACGGCTCCAGCTTCAGTATCTAAAGCAAAGAGTTTTGCTTCAAAGTTCGAATCCAAAGCCGCGGCATTGTCTCAAAGTAAAAGCACTTCTAAACCACCCGACATTCGACCTGGTAGTGCTAACGTTGCGGCACTCACCGGTAAGCTTACCGACACGGCGTCTGTTTCCAAGACTAAAGGGAAATTAACACCAGAGAAAGTAGAAGAACAGCAAAAGTTGCCTAAAAAATCAGACATCAAAACGTCAGAGGCTGTAAAAGCTACAGAAACACCCTCAAAGCTTCAGAAATCCGATTCTAGTGAGGCAAAAGTCGAAGTTGGTGTTCAAGGCAACAAGAGTTCAAAATTTAGCAGTGACAGTTCTAAAGATAGACCATCAGAAAAGATCTCAAAATTATCAGCAAGCAGTCAGTCTAAAGCGTCACCATTCGGCAAAGATATACTTAAAAGTGCAAAAGATTCAGTCAAACGTGACAATACACCAGTGGAACCGGTCAATAAAAAACCGATTTCACCTCAAGCAAAACAGGAAGAAACAAGAAAAGACATTGACAAATCATGCATCGTGAGATCTATTTCAGAAAAGAGTAGCGATAACAAAATTAGGAAAAATGGAAGTGAATTAGCTACATCTCCCACAACTACAGAGATTTGTCAGAACAAGTCTACAGACGTGAAAAAAACGGCAGATAGCAATTTGAGCGCATTTCCAGATTCCAAACCTGCGGCGGGAGGTACAGTAAACAACAGTAGGCAGTCGGCCAAGATCACAAGTAGCAGCGTAGAAGGTAAAACGCTTGAGAATTCGGAGACTAAAGATCGTATCGACGCCACTAAAGACAGCGGAGCAGAAGTGTCTGGAGGTAGGAGTGATCAGCTAGAAACGCATGTTTCCACGTCTGACGCTTGTGTTGTAGAGGCGAAGAACTTCGAGGAAAAAGGAAACTTTGAAGATGAAAATAGAAACGACAGCTACACAGCTGTTTCATCGACTCAAGCTAATGGAGGACCACCGTCTACGTCATCTATCTCTGATTTATTAATACCGAAAAATGAAACAGCGTCGTTGATCGATTCCACTTCTTCGTTATCTCCATTTCAGTCTGACATAGCAGCTGCAAACAAGTCAGAGGAAATTCAGCCTGTGAGTGGCAAAGATGCGACAACTCTGCAAAGTCCCCAAGAAGAAGCCAGGGATTTAGAAGTAAAAAATGATAATAATGAACAAAGTAACTCAGTTACATTTTCCAAGTCTGTATCGTCGTCTCCCCCACGGCCAGAATTTGACAATAATGTGGGCCCCCCTGATAAGCAGAAGACCACAGTCAAAGACAAGGACACCTTTGATGCTAAAGACGATATCGAAAAACTTCATCAACTGCTAAATGAAAAAGATGAGTCACTTTCAGCATTAAATCAACAGTTATCTAAAATGGAAGAACAGATAAAGACGCTTGAAAATGAGAGAGACAGACTGCAGGAGCAGTCACTACAGACCCAGAAGGATGATATGGAAAAACTTCTGAGAGAACTACGTGATCAGCTGTCGAAGATGGAAGAGCAATGCTCGCGCTTGGAAAAAGACAACCAAGCATTAATTGATAAACTACACATTCAAGAAGCCTGCGTTAAACAAGACCAGGAGAACAGAGGTAAAAACTCGGATAATGTTGTTCTTGAAGAAGATCTGGAAGCAGCGGAGCAAGAGCTCGAAGAAGTCAAAGAGGAGAATAAAGAACTGCAAAGGCACATCATGGAAATGAAGAATGAAATGGATGAGATGTACGATCACTTTAGAGAACACGACCACGACGAATTCAGGGAAATACAAAAGGAACTCGACATGACTGCAAAGAATTGTCGAATCTTACAGTTCAAACTTCGAAAAGCTGAAAGAAGGAACGATCAAATAGAACAAGACAGAATACAGTACGAAGAGAAGCTCAGAAGACTACAGGATCAGTTCGATTCCCAAGACGCAAAAGATCACATACGGTTACTTGAAGAAGAGCTGCGAATGGCTAAGGAAGTTTCTGTGCGTCTCCATGACGAGCTTGATGTTGTAGAAGATAAAAGAAACAAGGCTCTAGAGGAGAATAAGCACTTGACTGAACTACTCGAGCACACAGATAAGAGGCAGTTCCGACTGGAGATGGAGATTGACAAGCTGCGAGATATTGTAAGTACAACCACTGTAGCACTTCTTAATTTGCTTGTGTCTGTTTATCAAAATAACTTGTTGGATTCTTTTTAACTTCAATGAATTGTGTGCTTCTGTTTACTGAACTAACTTATATGTGTGTATTTACTAACTATTTGTTTCCATTTTGTTTTCTGTTAATTGTACTACTTTTGTACGTATTCAGTTACACACACAAAAAAAGTTGTCTATGTCTAAAACCAACTTGTTTCTTATTTATAAAACTACACCGCAAGTTTCTGTTTACAGAAATACTTTCTCTTCTGTTGACTGAACGATCATAACTAATTCCGTTTATTAGAATATGTTGCGGCTTTCTGCTTACTGAAGTAATTTGTAATTTTGCTGTTTACTGAATTATTTATATGTTTCATTTTGTTAAACTAACTTGTGTGTTTTAGTTTAATTAACTTCTTTAATTCAGTTTAGTGAACTGAATTGTCTGTTTCCAGTTACTGAATTAACTATTTATGTTTACTGAATTACCTTATACAAGTTTGTTTTTGTTTACATAACTAATTTGAATAGTTCTGTCTACGTAACTGGTTTTTTTTTATGAATCTGTTTACTGAACTAACCTGTATTATTACGTATTACAGAACTAATTTGTATTATTACGTTTTACTAAACTAATCTGTATTGTTCTGTTTACAAGAATAATCTTCAAAGTTCTGTTTTTACTGACGTTGTCAATTTTCTTCGCAGGGATACATTGTTTCTCCTCAGTGAGAACACACTCTGTTTGTGGAAGCAATTAAATATGTGAACACTAATATATTCCAGCTTGTTTTGTGAAAAAATACTTTTTGTGCCTTGACCTAAATGGTTTAAAAAATGTTTTCTGAACACTACTTCAGCTTATCTTGATTGCCATATCCTGTTTGTTTCTGTTTACTGCACTACACCGTGCATTTTTTGTTTACTTAGTTCTAATTTATGTTTACTCAGATAAAAAGATAGTTATTTATATTTCCTGAGCCAGCCTGACCGTCTTTACTTTTTTAAGGGACACTTCCTTTTTTTCTGTTACTGCGCACAAGTGTGTTTGTTCGTTAATCTAACCTCTGTGTTTTTTAATACTATATTAGAAGTTTCAGTGAGTGCCCACCTACCTTTTTTTTGTTTTTTTTTTTGTTTTTAAACTCGTGGATCAGCTGAAAGGGATCCATCCATCGGTTTGTCCTCTCTAGACTGCTATCTAAAGGTTTACCGTACCATCCTAAGATTAAAGGATCTCACTCTCAACCAACAAGGCAGACCCCAGATTCCCCGCTCAACCTGCAAAGAATTTATAACTAGGGCACCAGTAACTGCAGCACCACCATCAGGTGTAACCAGTAGTCGGTTAGTTTGACGTTAGTATCCCCAAATAGAGTAGGTCACTTTTAATTAACAAGTTTGTTGGGCTAGTCGACTTTCCTGAAGGTTAAGGGTGTGTCCCGCTCTCTTGTTTGGTTTCTGCGATGTCTTCTATTTACGTTTTCATTCCGAGAAAGAGAATACCTGTGACATAGGTAGCAGCAATCTCTAGGGGGTTGTGTTAGATCCAGTTTCTCCATGTTTTTAGAGTGTCAAAAGCGCTAGCGCGCTAAAATATACAACACATGATATCATCAGAATTGCGAACCACCCCCAGTAGCCGTGTGCGAAGGCCACGGGGCTCAAGGACTACCAATCAGCAGTGAGCTAGTGTGTATATGGGCGGGGTCTAGGGAGACTAACGTCAATCTAACCCCAGTAGTCCATGGGCTAGGGTTGCCAGATGCTAATGCAAACAATGGAGTCAGTGAGTGAAACGTAACCCCCTCTAGGACCGCAGACTCAGCGATGACTTGCCTAGATTGTCCCAGAACCCAGTTCAACCGTAAGGTTATATTAGGGGCTCCGATAGTTATGCAGCAACCTAAAGGTGTTTTGCTAGGGGGGGGGGGGGGGGTATATTCGTTATCTTTAACTAGCATCCTGAAGGAGGAACTTTAGGTTATTATTGTGATTAGGTTATGTGCGTCACATAAAATGGTTTAGCATTGCAGCCACCAAGAGCCACGAAAAGGACTCTGCAGTGTTGATAGGATCAGAAGAGACAGACCCAAATATTGTCCCGACCGGCAATGACATCGTCTGAAAACTCATATAAGCACAGCTTGAGTTATGCTTCTAATGGCGTTGGTGATATTCCCCCCCCCCCTCTCCCCTCCCTATGTGTGGTCATATATAGATGTTTTTCAAGTCTAGTATCAAATGCGTAAAAAAAAAAAAAAGAAGAGGAGAAAGATGTCCTTTAAAAATGTTTGTTTAACATCAGTACACGTCTCTTCCTGTTTACTAAAAAAATGACTACTTTTAATGTACTCTATGTCTTTTTGTTTACCAGATAAACCGGGTAGCAGATCTGAAGGGAAGATTTTTCTTATTCAATTAATTATTTGACTTCAGGAGGGCATAACATGAGATAATGGCATAATGTAATATGTTTAAAAAAAATAGAAATAATACACAAGAGTGTGAAATATTGAAGAAAGGACAGAATTTATTAATGAAAATGATTGATAAAGTCCATCTACAGAAAATGAAGAATTTGCTGACGTTATCAAACATAAATAAAACGAAAAAGCCCTGCCAGGTTAAGTTACGGTAAAGAAATTAGAAGTAATGGACGGATTTGGAACAGAAATATTGATTTAATTCTAAAACGACGTAAACGCCAGTTGATTTATGCTTAGTTATATGGCAATATGTGTGGTTATAACATTACCCAAGAAACGGGAAACGAATGCATTGAATTTCGCATAGAAATTTGTATAAACCATGTTGCTAAACTTAGATTTATAATTAAAATATCATGAAGAAAAATAATATGAAAATTAAGGGAAAATATGATTAATTTGTTGAAAGAAGGTAAATCAATAATGCAATACTTGTATTCCGAAAGTTAATAACAAGATCAATTTAGTAACATAAAGGTTTATACTTGTGCATGATAAATTACGCCACAAGATCTGCTGATCTGATTTGATTAAAATTGTGGATGAAATTAAAATTGATGAACTAGATTTCTTTTTTCTTAAAATCCATGCCGTGTTGCGTTGGTAGTCATGTCTGTCCACAACCTTCTGTCTCGTGTACTTTCAGTCAACTCTGACACAAATGATCCTCCAATCCCCTGATGTCAAACTGTTCAGTATCTTTTCTCTCGGTCTTCCTCTGCCTCTCCAACTTTCCTAATGTCACAATGTACTCCAGTTTTCTCCTTCTCATCACATGACCAAAGAATGTAGATTGTCTCTTTCTGATGAGGGCAATCAGTTCTCTTCGTAAGTCAGCTTCTTTCATGATATCTTCATTACTCCTTTTATCTGTCCAGTGCATTCTCGCCTTTAGTCTACAAAACCACATCTCCGCAGCTTCCAAATAATATTTCACTAATCTACCAACTGTCCATGATTCACTTCCGTACATCAAGATAGGATTTATACAGCTTTTGAGAATTCTCTTTCTCGTTTCAATTTACAAAGAAATATGGCATAAAATCTTCTTCATTTTGTAAAATGCTTTATTTGCTTGATGTATTCTACATTCCACTTCTTTTTAACTTCTTTAATACATCTTCCATCTGATGTTACCAGAGTACCAAGTACGCTATTGTATGCAGCTTACCCCCATATCCTCATCTTTTTAACTTCATTCTTTAGATCACCTTATCCATGTTTTTGTTTTCTTTTTCTGACTTAATTTCTGTGCCCATGCACAAAGACATTGTAGCTATGCTATTCTCAGGTTTTCTCAGCGTGTGTCCTATCCAGTGCCAGGGTCATTTCTTTACCTCTTAGTTCATTTGAACTTGTGTAGTTTCTCCAAAAACTCAACATTAGTGCTTCTATCATATCATTTCATTCCCTCTTTTCTGGACAGACACTAGTTAATGAAAGATTAAAGTTTATTCAGTAATTTATTCCGGATCTGCTCCATACAGCAGTACTGATTTGACATAGGAGTTAAACAGTTTAAGTTTATTGTTAGTCTTAATTTCTTTTGACATCCACTCATTTCCTATTGTCATGAAAGCCCCTTTTGCCTTTTGTATTCGTATTTTAATATTTCTATCAGTTCCCGCATCTTTATCTTTCTTACTGCATAAATAGGTGTACGACTCCATGTATTCGAGTGAGATACCATTAATAAGAGAAACCACATTACTAGTTAGCTAGTTTATTCTCATTTTCTTTGTCTTTCTCTTATAGATTTTTAGACCTAGTTGTGATCTCGCATCAAGAATATTTATTTATCTTACATGAGATTAAATGAATCAGACAGAAGCGAAATATCATCCGCGAATTCCGGGTTCATCAAGTTATTTTATAGGACAGTTTCATTCACTATCATTAACCTATTCCTACTTAATTGCTTTCTTTTCTATTCTTAATTGTTCATATGAATTTGTATTCTTAAACGCACTTTGAAGACCTCGTTGCCCTACACCAGACATCCATTATCCTATTTATAGTTGGATGTTCGTAGTTATCAATTCCGGAGCTATGCATTGCCTGTTAAGACACAGGTAGATAAAACACGTGTGAAGGTCATGTGGAATCAGAAACCGTGCGTGCTTCACCGTGCTGTCTTCCGTGGACGCTACTGATGAAACTTAGACGCTGGAGGTCGTGACCCTTGCACAGGAGTTACCATGGCAACCAGACGTTTTTGGCATTTTCTCATTAGCTCGTCTCTCTCTCTCTCTCTCTCTCTCTCTCTCTCTCTCTCTCTCTCTCTCTCTCTCTCTCTCTCTCTCTCTCTCTCTCTTTTCCTCTGCTGTTTTCTCTTATGTCTCTCCCCTTCCTCATTTTCCCTCATCTTGATCCTGCAGTTTTTGTGATATTTACAAGTTGTTAGACTTGGATAATGCTTATGTTTCTTCTTATCAACCACCACTATCTTCTTTTTTCTTCTTCTCTTGCACCCGTCATCCTCCCCATTCTTCT